TTGAGTTCTCTTCTTAGGACGGCGTCCAACACCTCCTTATAAGTTAGAAACCCTAATCTTTGTGAAAAGAGACTTTTTCCGAGTATTTTGACTCGGTCCGAGTCAGAACTCTGACTCGGTCGAGTCAGAACGAATCAGCCCAAGCCCATTGTCAACTCTTGACTCGGCCCATTTGGAACTGACTCGGTCCGAGTCAAATACTGACTCGGTCCGAGTCAGAAGGCTGAAAAACGTCCCGACACTCTGATTTGATCCGAAAACGGTTTTTCCGACCAAATCCAAGTCTTCCTTTCCGAAACTTCACATATAAGTCCATCCCTAATGGTGTGTGACCCTGTAGGCCCATTCGCAGTGGCAGCAGCCTCGAGAACCATTCCCGATCTACAAGTCATGGTTAGCCTCTAGCAAGACGCCATGACCACCCACGTTGAATTGAGTTAGAGGTGATCTAACCAAGGCAATAACAGCTCGAGTTCTGATCCTTTATCCCAACGAATAAATGAATATAAATGACAATTCAATAGTTGACTCATTTGACAACATTGATGGTTTAAACCCCAAAAAAATTATTAAGAGATTAAAATACTGATATTGTCTCCATTATTATTATTATTTATACATAAAAATTCAAAATAATAATTGCATAAAATGGCGGTAACTTCTCTTTTGCAATCTGGATGCCATTTAATGGATGTATAATAAAATATTGATCTTGCATAAATTTTATACTCCATCCTTTTTTTAAAATATATGGGGTCTTATACAATATTACGTGTTACTAAATAAATATCATTTTAGATTTTTTAAGTGATTTTTTAATTTTTTAAAATTTTATTATTAATTAAAAATATAAAATTAATAGAGTATTGATGAAAATATGGTTTATTGAGGCGTACATGATTTTTTTATTATATTTTCTTAATAGTTGTGAAAAAATTAAAATGATACTTAAGAGTAATTTTTTATTGTAATAATTTTCGAACGATGCAAAAAAATTAATAAACCTATTACGATCATTTGCCTTAATGATAATAATAAATTAGCACCATACGTATAAATTAGTAAATTATGTGATGCTATTGCCTCGAGTCCCATGCAAATTGCCGTTGCCTGTTGACTTATCCCCCAAGGTCGGTCCATTTGCGCGTATCATATTCTATATCGTATTTATATGAAAGTAGGCCTAACAAAATTTTCCCAATTTTGGTGAATTTTATCATAATTCAAAACGAATTTCTATCCACAAGATCCCATCCAAAGTTTTTTTTCCTGAAAATGAATACGAAATTCCAAACATATTAAAATATCATATTTTTAATATAGTTATTCAAACTGAGAATCTATTAAACAAATTATTAAACCTAACAATTTTTTTATATATAATTCTTTGATTAGAGTTTTTATTTTAATAAATATTTATGGTTTACGACTCTAAAAATAAGAATACTTTTTCTACCCATGTGTTAAAATTGATGAAGAAAATAAAATTGAAAATTCGGTGGCAGTTTCAACAACATAATTGAGAGAATGTTGGTTCCCAATTTCTTTCTTTCAAAATTTGGTTTTTTATTGTATTTTTCCGTTTTTACACATACACACATAATATATTTAATTTATATAATTTAATGAAATTAGGATTTAGTTACGATTAGTACGTGGTTAGGGATATGGAGATACGAGATCATATATGTTAGCTGATTAATTAATTAGATTCGAATCTGATCTTGGGCTCTGGACCACCTAATTCACGTACATACATACATACATGCATACATACACACATACACACATACACACACACATACATACATACATACATACATACATACATACATACATACATACATACATACATACATACATACATACATACATACATACATACATACATACATACATACATACATACATACATACATACATACATACATAAAATCGACTAGTAAAATAGATGCAACTTCATCTATAGCGTGGCCACGCGTTTTCATAGTCCGATTTCCACGAGAGGGCCCAGCGATATCTCTCCTATTGAGGAGGTGATAAGTCCCATATTGCATGTCTATTATCTCCATATGATTCGTGAACGTATCTGATCAACGCCGTTATAATCATCCGGTTAAAGACGACGTTTGACGCAGTCAAGACACGCCACTCCTCATATCAGATACTCTAGACATCTCAGGTCTGAGGATCCAAGAACGAACCGCTGTATGAGATTCAAGTCATGACTCTGTCCATGTGACAATCTCATGCGGGTCAACCAGTCACTCGTTCACAACGAGTACCCATGATTGTGATATGCATCCAATACATCGATCACAACTCATGCTAGTCTTAATTCATCATTGTTCCCACAATGATAACTGACCAGGGTGTTTAGAATCATTCGATAATGATTCAAGGATACCGAAATATAACAAACATGCCAATCATATAACGGAATGTAACGCATTCATAAATCAATGAATCAATACAATGTCAAAATGTCATATCACGGAACATCCTAGAGCATTACAACCAACAAAACTGAGTGCACCCGTCAAACAAGTCAAACTATTCGAGTCTCAAAAATGTTCAAACTCGTCAAACAAGTCGGAGTTTGACGAGTTTGACGTGTTTGACGAGTTTGATAATGAGTGTTAAATTTGTTTTTGAAGGTACCTTTTGTGTATGATTTTAAGGACATTCATATGGCTCCTAAGATCACGACGAAATGTTATCCATATCAGACTGTTAGATCTCTTAAAAAGGCCTTGACGGATGAAGAATTTACATATTTCAAAAAAGAATCACAGTTTCGGCATATTTTCCATCTTGGATGTAACGACACATTGAAGATGGTTCTGGCATCAGTCCTCTTACATCGGGCATTAAAATTGGAAGGAGAAGTGAAACAGCTATGGTTTGTTCTGAATGGCGTGCCCATCAGATATTCGATCACCGAGCATGCGATTATCTGCGGCCTAAATTGTGAAAAGTATCCACAAGACTGGGCTAAATGTAAGGGAACCCAGTTTCGGATGAAAATGTTTGGACATTCAAAGGTGACAACATCCGAAGCGATAAAGAAGCTGTATGCCACTCCAACCAAAGATGTGGAGGACAGGAGAAGATTAGCAATAATCATATTGCTAGGTGGAGTATTAGACCATGGAATCAAGAACAATGATGTGATTCCAAATGATGCAGTTGACATGGTCAACAATCTGGAATTTTGTGAAGGGTTTCCTTGGGGGAGATACACTTTCGAAAGAAAAATCGATCATATACTGAAGTTGTATGTAAACAATCCTACACCGAGGGCTCAGTGACACTTCCCTGGATTCGTAATACCTCTTATGGTGAGTTACTTTTTTATCATTGTTTTTAATTTATTGTGATATTTATTGTGTTTGAGTATTTGATTGATTAGTTTGTATGTATATTGCAGTTGCTTCCTTTTGAATGCGTGAATAGTTTAGGCGTCAATGGATGGCTTATAGATGTGAAGGATGTCGATCCCACATGTCCTAGGATGTGTAAGAAGCAAATCCAACCGGGCCTTTATGTCACACTTGCAAATGTGATTAGACAGATCGGTGTGGATTCACATGTATGTATAGATCGATTACATTAGTTATAATAGATGACATTTGACGAGTTTGACGAGTTTGACCATAATCCGGGTCACTGATACCAAATCTGTTAAAATGTTCTCAGGGTATTCGAAGTGTTCTTCAATTAGATGAGGAAGAGGAACATGTTTTTTAACATACATGAGGATGAAAGTAGTCATCCGTTGGTGCAAAGTTGGATGCAACAATTGAGGTTGAACCCGTCAAGTATTCGTTATGAGAACATTCATGAGATCGATGTTGGTGGTAGGGCGGAGAGAAAGAAGAAAGAGAACATAAAGAAACAAAGAGAAGAAGAACGAGAAGAAGAAGGAGAAGGAGAAGGAGAAGAAGAAGGAGAAGAAAGAATAGAGGAAGAGGAAGGAGAAGATGAAGAAGGAGAAAAAATATCCTTCAAAAAGATGTTGAAGAAGATTGTAAAAGACTCCGAAAAAAGAATAATTGCAAGAGTTGAGAAGAAAGTAATTGAAAAAGTAAAAAGAATTCTGGAGAGGGCAGGAATTAATGTGAAAGGAGTCGATTGGTCTGAGATACAAGACAACGAGTTCGAGTTTAGATCTCGTTTTTCGGATGAGAATGTAGACCTTCCACAGAACGAGCAAGGTATGGTGTTACACTTTAGACTTTATTTAGGCAAACCGAGTTAGGGGGAGTTAGATTGGTTTGGCTCTTTTGATTGACGAGTTTGACTGGTTTGACTCTTCTGGTTGACGAGTTTGACTGATATTCATATAATTGGTCATATGTAGGACATAAATCTGTGCAAGAATCTGACAATGATCAAGAGGATATAGAAATTGCATAGAACGAGCAAGGTATGATCTTACACTACACTTTATTTGGGTAGCCCGAGTTAGATTGGTTGACACTTTTGGTTGACGAGTTTGACTGATATTCATATAATTGCTCATATATAGGACATCATCAATCTGTGAAAAAATCTGATAATGATCAAGAGGATGTAGAAATTGCACAGAACGAGCAAGGTATGATCTCACACTACATTTTATTTGGGCAGCCCGAGTTAGATTGGTTTGACTCTTTTGGTTGACGAGTTTGACTGATATTCATATAATTGCTCATATGTAGGACATCATCAATCTGTGCAAAAATCTGATAATGATCAAGAGGATGTAGAATTTGCACAACACGAACAAGGTATGGACTGATAGGTGTTTATATGGTTTGACAAGTTTTACCATTTGGGTTGACGAGTTTGATTAATGTTCAGATAATTGGTCATATGCAGGAACTGATGATGAAGAAGATGATAGTGATGCGATTCCCCCTACTCCTAGAGCAGTATCTAATACTATTTTGGGTTCGACTGATGATGATGATGGAGGGATACCTGCTCAGGAAAAGGAGAATGTCGAGGTCCCTGCTGCTCCCAAGGATCCAGTTCAGAGTAGTAAACGACCGAAGAGGAAAATAAAGCCAACTCTTAAAAGTCCATATACTACTTTGGACTCGACTGATCCACCCTCCAAAAAACGACGGGCAAAGAGAGAGACAAGAGGTAGAAAAAGAAAGAAGGACAAAGATCGTGTAGAATCTGCATTGGTCCAGTACAAGAAGGTGTTTCATGCCTAGTACAAGAAGGTGCATTGGTGCCGATAGAATCCACATTGGTGCCGATATCTGTAGCTCCTCCGGGTTATGTGTGGATCCCTCGACAGTCTATGGTCTATGACAATGTTGTGCGAGTTGAAAGTTTTATTGAGACAAACACAAGAAAAGCGACTGCTCTCTTCAAGTTTATGCAAAAACCGAGACAAGAGAGGTTATGGATGTCGGGGTTGGAATATCTACGAACCCCACAGTTTTGGGAAGACCTTCTACAAGAAGGTGTATGGTGGTTCAATGATCAAGTAAGTGTTTTCACATATAGTTTGATCAGTTTGACGAGTTTGACGACTGTTTGACCCATTTAACTGTTTGTTTTCACGGCATATCGATGAAGCTATGTATGAAATCCGGAAACGTGTACCCCAAATTGAACCAAATAGTCAGAGGTACCTTCTTTGTTATGTGCAGTGTTGTGAATGTTTCAAATGGTGGAAATTGGGACAGAAAGATCTCGGCCTTCTTGGACAATACATGAGTGGGGAATTACCAATTGGCGGTGGTAACAAAAAATTGGACCAATACAATCGGAGCTAACTGAATTGAACACCTTATTTTGTTTAGTAATGCATGTTCCCTCAAACGAAACCCTAATGTTCTATTACACTTTATGTTACACGGGTAGAATTTATCATTTTTCCAAATGCTCTCCTTATAACAAAAACACGTTCAATACGTCATAATAGACCCTGTGCACAACTTTGAACCATCGGAATTTAATTTTGACCACAGGTTGACCGCGTTGAGTCGTCAAACTCGTCAAACACGTCAAACTCGTCAAACTCGACAAACTCTCTGTTTTGGCAAATTTATCAATTCTGAACCATGAACATATCAATAAACACCCCGTATAACAAATTTGATAGGTAAAAAACAATCGGAGCTAACTGAATTGAACACCTTATTTTGTTTTGCAATGCATGTTCCCCCAAACGAAACCCTAATGTTCTATTACACTTTATGTTACACATTGGTCTAGGGTAGAATTTATCATTTTTCCAGATGCTCTCCTTATAACAAAAACACGCTCAATACGTCATAATAGACCCTGTGCACAACTTTGAACCACCGGAATTTAATTTTGATCACAGGTTGACCGCGTTGACTCGTCAAACACAGAAACCCCAAACATGAAACCCCGAATGCGTGTTACGACTTTGACCAGTGTTATGAGTTTGATCAGTTTGACGACTGTATTTACAATATAATACACTAGTGAATTAGTCTAAATATGAATTCATAATGTCATTACATGTACGAACATAATATTATGACTCATACGTCTGTGACATCCTTGACGTACTGACCGAACCTACCGAACATGATTTTCTTTTTCGAGACTCACCAGGTCCAGGAAATCGGTTTTGTTTAGGCCTTCCACTTGCCCGTTTTTCTTCCACTATAGGCGGCAATACCACTACATCTGCAATGGAAGATGGCAATTTCCAATCACAACAATCAGGAACCGGGTACACAGTCTCTTGGTAAGCCATACGCCATGTATCTCGCCTGTAGTATTCAGAACAAAGTTCGTATATCATATCGCCTTTTCCGATCATATGTGCTGCTGCAATTGCATGACTACAAGGATACCTATCCACATCAAACATTTTGCAACCACATGTTCTTTCTCCAAGATTAACCAAGTGTCTTCTACCTTTTTCATCCCTCACCTCAAACTCGCCAGTAACACCGTTCAGTTCTTGAACGTCAAATGTACATGCCTTCTCGTAACGTTCATGTAGCTCTTTGTAAACAAATGGTGTTAACTTTTGAGATTCATCAGAACTACCTGCTTCTAACATGTGCTTGTTAAACCATTCAACTGTCTTTCCGAGACAAATATCAAGTAGACTTAGCAATGGATACTTTTTTGCCTTCTTCAGTACGGAGTTGATCGATTCGGCCCCATTGGTTGTTAACATGTTGTACCTTTCACTCTTAAATTTACACCTTGCCCAATTCTCAGGTGCAAGTTCTTCCTTTTGCATGTACTCGACCACTTTGGAATATTTACACATTATGAGATATATTCACATTAATAACACCAGTCAAGCTCGTCAAACAAGTCAATTACACTAACCACAAAAAACATACCTGCTTTTTAGATCATCGCATAGGTATTCAAACTCATCAATCGTGTAGGCTGCTACACATTTAAAGAAAAATTTAGAGACGGTCTCACCATTTGAACTCTTTCTTCTACTGCCTCTATTAACGTGCACTTTTAAATTCTGCGCTATGTGCCTCACACAAAAGTCGTGTTGCGCTTGCTTGTATACTTCTCTCGTAGCTTTGATTATGCTTTTATGTCGATCAGATAGCACAACTACATCAGGATCATCCGGTATTACTTCGCTTAATCTTGTCATAAACCACAACCATGAAGCATCATTCTCTCTATCTATCACTCCCCACACTAAAGGATATTGGTGATGATCACCATCTTGGGCGGTTGCCACAATCAATGCTCTCTTATATTGGCTCGTCAGAAATGTTGCATCAACAGCAACCACTTTACGCATATACTTCCATCCTTTGATAGTTGCACCCAGGCGATGAAGAGGTATTTGAAAGTTTTTTTATCATCTTCAAACTGAAGACCCGCTATAGTCCCAGAATTCCTTTCCGTCAACATGTGCAACCAACCAGGAAGCCTACTATAATGTTCATCATGACTACCACGGATCTCATATTCAGCACTATATTCCCTCTCAATGCCATCATATACGATACACTCGCACCGTACTTGTCTTTCACCCGTTCTACTATCTCTTTTGCTGTGGGAGTTTCAAGCTTACCAACATACTCTTCCTTTAAGTAATCTCTAACCAACTTCGCTGAACCTTGCACATCTTTTTTGGATTCAGATACAGGTCTGCAACTATGAACGGGATTATATGATCTTATATAGAAACGTTCGGAATTCTGAATTGCTGCAATGCGTAATTTCCAAGCACAACTCGATCTATAAAACTTGCATCTTAATTCCCACAACTTCTTGTCAGACTTCACTGTAGCAAAACCGAAACAAGCTTTAACAGCGTCTTTCCGTACATATTCCTGAGCTGTTGCCTTATTATCAAACTCATAACCAATACTTATATTCAATCCATCACTAAAATTGAATATACTGAAATAGAAAACGATGTGTCCTCCACAGGTACAATGGCCATATTATTCTCACCATCACCATCACCATCTCCATCACCAAAGCCAACTTTATGGGTTTCACATGTCATATCAGTTGCAGGTCCCTCTTTTAAAACAATTGCATGTTCTCCACTCATTTCATCTTCTCGAACAGTAGTATGTTCATCATCCAGATCATCTATAAATTGTATCGTATTACTCGCACCTTTACTCTTGAAATCGGGACTCTGAATCATATTCTTATTATAACCTGCATAAAGCACAGCCCCATATGGTCCAACACCAATACCAACACCACTACCGGAATCCGGAATGTATTGCATAACAATTTCTTGTTCACATTCACTTCTCAAATTTACTTTTTCAATCTCCACGTGAAGCATGCTTCTTCCTCCGTTTATTTTGTCCATGAGATAAATAAACACTTGCTTGTTATTCGATATGTAAATCGGCTCACATTTTCCTTTTATTGACGGTAGATAACTTAGCTGAATATTTGATTTTCCTTTGTCCACATTCATATCAGAATGTAACTTCTCAACCAGATGTCTGTATGTCAAATCTGTCGGAGGAAAAAAGAATAACACACCCTTCGCATCTTTAACTTTTCCTTCCCATTCATATTCTCCACTTGCGTTCATTATCCACTTGCCACCAGACTTGTAATAAATAATTGTCATTCTTTCATCACTTGCAGCCATTATACATGTACAAAATAAACACAAAATGGTGAAATTGGTTTGACGAGTTTGACGAGTTTAACGAGTTTGACGATTTCTACGAGTTTGACCAGTTGGACAAAATGGTCACTTTCACCAATGTGACGAGTTAATTTGACCAGTTTAACTGATATATATATATATATATATGTTACATTTGACTCATCTATATTATACAAATACGAAAATTAAAAAACCCTAAATACCCAAAATATATATCGGCTTTAAAAAAAACTTACCTATTAACGAGATCTACGTTTATTGGATGAGTTTCTTGGAGATTTCACTTGTTTTTCGCAGCAAATTTGCCAGAAAATCGCGCCGGAGAAGAGACATTCAAGAGAGAGAAGAAGAAAAACTCGAAGAGAGAGAACGCGATGTATCGCGGGAGACAACGATAAAGAGGAGAGAGAAAATGGGGTAAAAAGTATATCTATATTTTATTTATTTTAGTATATTATAATATTATATAAATAAAGGAAGGGTATTATAGGGATTCTACAGGGAATATTACAGAATTGCCTTTAAATGGCACCGAGCACTTCAAGTAGTACCCTTGAGATTTTAGAGTTTTCAAAAAAAATTGAAAAACGCTGAAAAGACATTAACGCCCTTAATGAATAGGCCACGTGTCAAGATCAGAACGAAGAAACTATGAAGAAAGAGAAAAAAGTAGGAAAACATTGTTATCATTAAAAAAAAGGACACATGTCAAAATCTGAGTGGATAAAAAAAAGGAGAAATAAACTTTTTTTTAAAAACTCTCTAGTTTCTTCTTCATTTTCTTCGGCAATTTCTTCTTCGGTAAATTTTTTTCTACAATTTCTCTCTAATGGTACGATTTATTTGGTGTTTTCTTGTGCGATTTCTTCTTGTAAAACCGTATTCACTTCAAAATAGCTTCGTCTTCATTGTTTCCGACTCCTTTGCGTATTCATTTGAATTCACCAAGAAAGGTGGATATTTTTTTAGAATCTTATGTGTGTGCATCTAGGTAAACAATAAAAGAAGATAAAACAAGTCAAATTGATCATATTATTCGAGTTGTATAGATAAAAAAAATTAGGATTTCAGTTAGAAAATGAGAAACAATATTTTTCACAGAAGACGAGTCATATGGAAAAAGTTAAATGGTCATACTAGTCATACTAGTCGCACTTGAATAGTGTGACCAGTTTGATTAGTCTGATAAATCTGGTTAAACGGGTCACATTCGTCAAATGCTCATATCAGTGAAGTGGTCACACCCTTCAACTGGTTATTCTAGTGAAATGGGCACACAGTTAGACTAATCAAACTGGTCAAGAAGTTAAGTGGTCATACTAATAATATTGGTCACTTGAATTGTGTGATTAGTTTGAATAATCTGATAAAAGTGGTCAAAAGGGTCACATTAGTCAAACTGGGAGATTTACAAAAATGACTTTAAATGTCATTTTTACTTCACGTGATAACCCTCACTTTGGAAAAAAAAAAAGACAACATCATGTGATAACCTTGTAATAATATACTTCCAAAAATACCCTTCATTTTTTATTTATTATTAAATTTTAAAAAATAAATTTCAACTCTCTCCTCTTCCTCCTCTCTCTCTCCTCGTCCGCTTTCTCTTCTCTCTCGTTCAGTAGTCTTCACACTCTCTTCATCTCTACTCTTTTTTTAGCTAATTTGTTGCGAAAAAACAACATTAAGCTTGGGCATTTAATCGATTCAACATAAATCTGAATAAAAGGTAAGTATTGTTTCTAAATTTTGTTATTAAGTTTGGACATTTGTGATTTATTATTTTATCATTTTTATATTTAATCCATATGAATATGTTTGAAATAAAAATGACATATATATCAGCAATACCATGATTCACGTTATTCAAACTGGTTGAAATCATTATATTTGTGAAATTCGTTAAAATGGGAGAATTCAGAAAACTGGTAACATATACATGTCGAAATGGTGAGACTGGTCATACTCCTAACTGGTCATACTTGTCAAAATTGGTCAAACTGGTCATATTCGTGAAATTGGTCAAAATGGTCATACTCATCAAACCTGTGACATTTTTCAAGTGTATCATTTTATCACATTTTGTGTTTATTTTATACAGGTATAATGGATGCAACTAATGAGAGGATGATGATTATTTATTATAAATCTGATGGCAAGTGGGTAGTAAAATCGATCGGAGCATATGAATGGGAAGGAAAGAAGAATACATGTTCGATAGGTTCAGCCAACATATCATTGTCATAAGATCATGCGGGTGGAATGTATTTCGATTTGTATTTGGTATGACTGGTTTGACCAGAATATGACCGTCTCGACGATTTTGGTAAACGAGTTTGATTATGTAGGTGTAATGTACTTTTAAATTCGTATTTCCGTATTTGTATTTGATATCTCTACTTTGACCATATTATCATATGATTATGTGGGTTTAATGTACTCTTTCAAACCGATGAATCTCGCAATTTCGAATAGGTCTGACCGTCTGACCATGGTATGACCATATGACCGTCTGATCGTCTGACCATTCGGGTACGAAAAAAAAGACCTAAATTAAATTCAAACGATTAGAAAAGTTGTATAAGGGTTATAAGAATACTTTTTCATCGTTTTGGAGTTCTAATTTCGTGTGGAGAAAACAAATCTACCAACATAAGTCAATTGTGTCCAATGTGTTACACAAACACTACTAATAGTTTAGGTCTTCTTTGGAAAGAGTTACTTTGATATCAAAAAAAGATGCTCAATCCATATTGCTACGACCGATTTCAACTAGAGAAATCGATCATACGAGATGATTATTACGATGTTAACACTTTCAAACCGATGAATCTCGCAATTTCGAATAGGTCTGACCGTCTGACCATAGTATGACCATATGACCGTCTGACCGTCTGACCATTCGGGTACGAAAAAAAGACCTAAATTAAATTTAAAGGATTAAAAAAGTTGTATAAAGGTTATAAGAATACTTTTTCATCGTGTTGGAATTCTAATTTCGTGTGGAGAAAAAAAATCTACCAACATAAGTCAATTGTGTCCAATGTGTTACACAAACACTACTAGTAGTTTAAGTCTTCTTTGGAAAGAGTTACTTTGACATAAAAAAAAAAGATGTTCAGTCCATATTGCTACGACCGATTTTAACTAGAGAAATCGATCATACGAGATGATTATTACGATGTTAACACTTTCAAACCGATGAATCTCGCAATTTCGAATAGGTCTGACC